TGACACATCCCTATAATCCTAGTACAGAAGGGGACAGTAAGAGGAGGGTCACAAGTTAAAAGCCTGTTTAGACTACACAATCAAATCTTCTCTTAATTTAAAAAAAAAAAAAAGACTTGCTAGGGGATAGTTTAGTGATGGAATACTACTAGCCTAGCAATGTGCAAGGCCCTAAGTCTGATCCCAGAAACAACCACAAATAAAAACTGTGTTAACTCTACCATTTTGGGTAAAGATTATAAATGTACTATGTGACTTATTTATTTATTTGTTTTGGAGGACAGGGTTTCTCTGTGTAATAGCTCTGGCTGTCCTGGAACTCGTTTTATAGACCAGGCCTGCCTCTGCCTCCCAAGTGCTATGATTAAAGGTGTGAGCCAGCATTGCCCAGTGATCCTACTGTTTTTTTAAGCACATGCTTTTTTAAAAATATTCTATTTATTTATTTTATTTTATGTGTACATTTATCTGTGTGAGGGTATTGGATCCCATGAAACTGGAGTTATAGACAGTTGTGAGCTGCCATGTAATTGAACCTGGGTCCTCTGGAAGAGCAGCCAGTGCTCTTACTGCGGAGCCATCTCTCCAGCCCTCCGTGTGGTTTTATAATGAAACTAAATTTGTTAACATGGAGCTAGAAAGAAGAATAAATGGAGTATTGTTCAGTGATGGAGCACTTGAATAGGTGAGAGGTGCTAGGTTCTATCCCTGCATCATAACCACATTAGAAAGAAGACAGACTGACTTCATCCACTAACATTCCACAAATCTTATGAATAAGAAAAGTGCAACCTAACAATTAAAAAGCAAACAAATAAAAAAAAGAAAGCACTATAAACTAAGTAACACACAGGTACTATTTGTTCCCACATTAAAATATTACAACAGTATTTTTTTCAGCATTTGTGCTCCACTTTGATTTTAGTATTTTCTAAGAAAACAGGCATTTACTATAAAAATTTAGTCATCCCATTTCATTTATCAGTTTGAGCCAGCTGACCTAGTAGGTTTATACTATGGAAATTACTACAGCAAAATTTTAACTCAGGTGTAATAAAAATCTGATAATAAATTTAAAAATTACTCTTACATCACTATGTAACTATTTACTAATATGAATATACTTCAAAAATTTCAATAAAAAAGTAGACAATGTACAATTTTATTAATAAATAGTGCAAAAGCATCAGTGATAACTGTTTAAACATTAATTTTCTTTGAACAGCCATTGTCTTGGTTTAAGTTTGTGCATAGTGACCTCTATGGCATTGCAAATAAACACATGAAAATACTTCATATTTTCATGCACAGGTATTAATCTGTAATACTGTTTACAAATTATTATGGACAAGGTAACTACAATAATTAATACACATTTGGATAGCCACAATTCCATGAGCAGTAATGAAGAAACAGCCTATGTCTGATATATTCTAGATGTCAGGTATAATATTTAATGTTCTTAAGACATAGTTCCTCATTTCCATTCAAGGACACATGTGGACATGTCTATACATGTGGACACTCAAACACAAGCTGAGGAATATGTTCTTTGACCATAATAACAAACTCACACAAAAGACAGTGTTTGTCCTGCTTTAAAGAAGCAATACATTTGTTCATAATCTTTCTCTCCAGGCATTGTTTTCCATATTACTAATGAAAATGCTTACTAGCCCAACCCCAAAGTTCAATCTTCAAGAGAAACTTATAAAGTTAAAAAAGAGTCATTCATTTTTTTATATATATATATAAAAGCCAAATTCTAGCAACACTAATGCTAAAAATGACATCAATTAAACTTCCTTTCTTGGGTGTCCCTTCTGCCTCATTTTTACTGCTCTTCAATTAAATTCCTTAGCATTCACAAAGTATATTATTTCTATGAATTTTCTATTAGGTATAGATTTATTTTCCTTAAGTAAAGTGAAGTTTGAATAGTACAGTCTGTGGTGTGGTAACATCAGCAACAGCCAGTTCTTGTCCATCAACGAGTCCCAATTCTAAAATAGAAAGGAATGTCAGTAGCCCAAACAAAAATAAATATCTCAACAAAAAGAATAACATATACATACACACAAATTAGTTTTATAGTTCAGATGTCTCAAATTCCAATTCTTTAAGATAAAATTTGATTTCTTAGAATTTTAAATTTTTTTCTATTAAAAGAGCCATCAATTCTATTATTTTTGTAGATATAAGTAATTATGACTTGCTCATATTTAATAAAGAGCAAATCTAATTTCAAAGCCAGCCTGAGCTACAAGCAAGTTCAATGCCAGCTAAAGCGAAAGCAAGGCATCCTATCTCCAAACATCCTATCTCCAAGGGCTTCGGATAGATCAGTGATAAGGCACCTTCCTAGCAAGTCAAGCGGTACCTAACTGTGATCCCTGGCACTGGGGACAACCAGAGAGAGACAGACACAGACACACCGACACACAGACAAGAGACAGACAGACAGAAAGACACACACACACACACACACACACACACACACACACACACACACACACACACACACACACCACA